TATAGTGAAACCAATGCTCCTTTTCATTGAAAACAACAAGAAACAGTTCTCAAGTGGAAAAACTGAAACAGATGCTAAGAATAAACAATGTGTTTTTTCATAAAAGAATCTGTCTTACTTGGTACAATTATCAGAAAACCTTTCTCCAAGAAATCTGATTTTTGTGCATAGCAATTGCTCATTAAACTAGAGTGATATCCTCATGCTCATTTTAAAAGCAATATTAAGGGGAGCTCTGGTGGCCTGGTGGCAAGAAGCTGCATTGCAATCCCAGAGTTAGGCTGTTCAAATTCCACCAGATGCTCTGCTGGAAAAGGCGAGCCAATCTCCTCCTGTACCAGTCAGATCTTGATGGTACATGCACAAAAAAGAATACAATTTAAAATAAATAAATAAAATCAAAATGAAATTCTTTTCTCCAACACTTAATCTTATTTAGGATTAAGACTACTGATGTGCTGGTCAAAGTTTCAGTCCCTCTGGGATAAAAAAGCAATAGGAGGAAACTCTTATTTGTAGGTTTTCCCCATTCCCAGGGTGTAAATGCCAGTCCCATGCCAATTTAAGCTGCTAATTTGAGGTCACTAATGATTTAATAAGAAATTTGGAAGATATTCACACAAGTGACCTTGCGAGTTAGCAAGAGAATCCAAAGAAATACTCTCCACAAAGAAACGTCTGAAGCTAAGTGGAATGATGACAAAACCAAAGGCCTTCATAATGAGAAAAGGATCTGATGTTTTCCATAGAACTCTGTGTCTCTTTTAAAAGTATCTATTGCAGTTCTTTGCATCTCACAGTTAATTTTGGATTTGTTTCCAGACATTACATCATAAACTAGTAATCTCAATGCCTTCATATTTTTTATATTTACAGAAAATGACCTATTTTTAAGTTTTAAATGCAAATTAATTTGACTCCATTAAGTTTATTTTAATGAAAAATATTGAATAAATACAGCATTTCAGTTAATATTAAAGGACTGACAGATTGCATTTCAATGGTGTTCATCTGCAGTTTTTAAGGATAACAGACAATATCTCCTAAAGTGTTACTTTTTAAGACAAATTCTTGTTTTCTGAGATTGTACTTTAAGGTACAGTTGTTCTAGAACTGTGAGACAGCTTTCCAGATTAGAAAGAGATGAAACGTGAACAATAGACTCCTGGGAGAAGCGAGAGCTAGTGAAAACTTACCTGTGAGAGGCACAGGTTATTCATAGTCTAGGAAGCAGAAAAAAAGATCAAAAGAGTTTACTTGAGGGAAAAGGAAACAGAGTAGTGTAGAGAGTTATCTTAAAAGAATTAAATGCATGAGCAATTAAAGCAATGAAGCAAGTGTATGTTTGAATAAAACCAGTGTGTAATTATAAAGAGGGCAGACAATTACATTTGAAAATATTGAAAATAAATAGAAAGTTGCTGAGGAGAGCAATCTTGAAATTGAAGAACAAAACTGTACATTGGACTGGGATTTAAAATAAATGACCTTCAGATCTGTCAATAGCCTGCTCATACACGGATTTCCTATAGCACCTTCTTCTTTTGACTGATGCTTCTTAATTCAAAAGACTTCTTTCAAGTCTTGGGATTTGAATCCTTTGTCACAGGGAAATGTCAGAGATAGTACATAAGGGGCAAGGTTGTGATGTGAAGAGTCTATCTGAAATGCACCTGGCAGCGTTAACGCTTGTACAAGCAGGTCTCATTGTTTTGGAATTAAAAAGTAGAGCTTTGAATAAACTATTCTCTACAGTATTCTGCACCTCATTGGCAACAGAGCACAAGGAAAAAAGATACATGACTGTATTTTGAAATACAATCTGCTATCATCACAGTCTTGTACTTACAAACATATGGAGCTGCGTGCCTAATGCTTACTTCTCCAAAACAGTTAGAACCTAAATTCAGGCATAGATCTTTCTTAATCTAAGCAACTAAAATATTTTCTTAACTAATGGATGGTTAATGATGCCATCAATTTTATCACCTCTGCTGATTCATCCTCAAACACTTTATTCAGATTACTTTCAAATGTGCATTGAAGTATCAGATACCACCTAATGTCAGATGGAGAAAAATAAGACCATTCTGGGCAGCCTGGAAGAGCAATGCTGTCAAAGGTCATCATCAAGTCTGACAAAACAGTGCTCATTAACAGTGTCTGTCAGCACCTCCATTTGGAAGTAATTTGGATACTTGCAGTGACCCTGTCATTTCTGATTGGCTGGGCAGTGACCTTGACCAGGGTGAAACCTGTTCAGTGCCCCTCATACAATTCACTGTAGGTGGAATTCAGGATGACAGATGGCGGTGGGGTCAGCGAAGAGGAACTTGTCCATCACTGATATTAAAGATGAAGCCACTCAACGGTGTAATTCTACTGGCACAGGAGCTGTGGTTTACACACGTCATTAGGGAATTGTTCAAGTTCCTTTACTTTTCAAGAAATGCTGTATTCTAATAGCCTCTGAGTTCTTGAGACTGATGTGGTAAAAAGAAAGTATAGCGGCTGGAGCTGAGCAACAGGCTGGTCATTTCAAAGCTTGTCTTTGACAGAACAGTCAAGGTCCTGCATGAATCTTTATTCATTCTGCAATATTGTTAAGGTGGATGAATTCCTTATTTGATAATCTTCACTAATAAACTGGTTTAATTTGCTGAAAAAGTAATTGCTTCTCTCTCCAACCTCACTCATATAGCCACATATCAGTGTGAAATACAGTGTGTTGTTATGTGCTGTTGAGTCAGAATCAGCTCATTGTTGATCCTCCAATGGGTTTTCCAAGACAGTAAATCCCACTGGAGGAGATTGTCCATCTTTTTCCGAGGAGCAGCTGGTGCATTTGAACTGCCTACCTCTGGGTTGGCAGCGCAACTCCTTACCAGAGTTTCCTAAAACAGTGAGAGCTAAGTGTATTTATTATATTTTCCAAGTTCTTGACTTTCAAATATATAAAAGACCAATTATATTCTGGATAAATAATTGCTGAAAACATAATCTGGGAGAGTTTATAGCTTCAGGACCATTGCTGCAGTCAGAGGAGCATCGTCCAAGTTCCTTTATTTTGAAGGAATGCTACATTCTGTCCTAAAACACACACACACACACACACACACACACACACACACACACGTAAATCAGGAATATTGGGAAAACACAGCACAAATTCACAATCTCAGTGGCTCACTAACAATTTATTCCTAAAAACCAGAAAATACATTCAGAGGCCAAAGGCCAAATGAAGTACTTGTGAGAATTACAAGCTTAAGCTGGTGAATCAATAAGAGAATTTACATAACTTTCAGTTACTTGTAGAGCATTTAACTATCTTGGGAGGATGGCTAAAAACTAATGGCCTTTTTTCCTCATTGGCTGCTTCATCTTCAAGATTTTTTCCCCCCAAGTCTTTAACACAAGCTTCCTTGAGATGTAGTTTGGTCTTATTTTTAAAAAAAAAAAAAAAAAGCCAACCCACTCCAACTAACAATGAAAGGGTAAAATTAACAAGTGAATGGAATAAACTATTAAAGCAGAAAAGATACAAACTTGCAGACCATGTATCTAATTTGACTTCCTGCCTTGTGAATTACTCAGTGTCCCTATCTGCCAAAACACTTAGAAGTGCCTCAAAGAAGGTTAGGACAAGAGTCTTTATTAAGAGTGAATTCAGCTCCACTTCATAATTAGACATCAGGTTTGTTGGTTTTTTGTTTTTTTGTTGCTTATTTATCCTAGTTTTAGAAGAGACTCGTTTCTAGGCAAAACATTATTCAACTCATTCAGACACAACATACATATAGAGACAGTTTAATTATCTACTTAATTCTTTCCCTTGGTCATTTTATCCATAACAGATAACATCATCCAAATGGCTTTCAAGAATGAAGCATTTTCACCGAAACACTTTCCCTCGCTGATTTTGAGACACCTCCCTTTAGCGGCGAGAGTAACTTTTACAGAAATTGCCTCAGCCCAGCTCCTTCCAACTAGCCTATTGACCCCACCTGTTTTAATGTGCATGCTGTCGTGACCCACAGAGATTGTATTAAGCAATTAAGAGACAAACCACCTACTGCTGCTTGCTGTAAATGAACATTCAACCAACAGACATCTCAAAGTGCCAAACATTGCAGGATTAGACCACAACAAGCTCAAATATTGAGAATCCAAACAGGAGCATGATAATTTACGACAGGACACCATCACGCCATGTTCAGCCCATTTTAATTAGTCATAAAACGGAGACCAAGCCACACTGCTAACTAAACTCTTCAAGACAGAGTATTCTGGTGTAAGGAAGATTCCAGAGAGGGCTCAAGATGCAAGCCAATCACCAGTTAAGCAGAAGGAAAGACATTAATGGTATCTGCCTGCTTAAGACATGGTTTATCTTTTCAGGAAGAGCTAAATCCTGTGATTGCTTCAGGTTTTCTTATTTTTCTGCAGACTAATAGAAACAACTGTTTTAAAGTGCTAATGTCACTGTAAACACAATTCATTTTACTTGCGTTTTTATGGGTCCACTGGTGAAAGGGCTATGCAGCTGTTGTTTTCTAAACTGTCATTTGCTGGGTTAAAAGTTTGTCCTACACATCCAGGGAATGGTCACTGCTCAGGAATCAGATGACCACAGCAGAGATACATTGTTATGTGGATCATATAATTTGTTTTGGATCAGCCTCCCACCAGATGCTAAAATCTGGTGTATTTATTAAGAGTTGGCTTAAGCCCTGATTCATTCTGGAGTTCAACTAAAACTGACAACCTGAGCAGGACCCATCCCAACACATATGCCTCCTCGAAGCTGAAAGTGATTTAGCATTTTGGTGGCAGTTAGTGACCACTGGGTAGATTTGTACTCATTCAAGCTGTCACCATGCAGCAGTGTTCCCAATCTACTAAAAAACTTGAGGTGAATACTTGCCAGATGGCGTTTTTTTGTTTTTTGTTTTGTTTTGTTTTTTATGCATAGATCTCTTACAAAAGGAGAGAATACTTTAAGTACAAAGAACAGATACATTGAAGATCTTCTTAGGCACAGATGCAGGAGCATTTTCAAACTCTATAGGGTGTTTTTGAAATATGTTAGGAATGTAAGCATATGTTAAAATTGCACAGCCAATGCCTACCCAGTATAGAGTGTGACTTTCACTAATCTCACAGCAAAAAAGGAAGCTTGGCAAGAGTCAGGGTTAGACATCCCTTTGTTTTTATGTGCCTTCAAGTCAACTACTACTCATAATGATCCTATGAACCATGTATCTGAGCTTTGCCCTATCCTGTGGCAACCTCAACATCTCTAAGATACTTGAGCACATTGTTACAGTCACTGTGTCAATCCACCTTGATGAGATTCTTCCTCTCTTATACGTACGCTTCGCCTTTCCAAGCATAACGTTCTTTTCTGGGAATTGACTCCTTCTACCAACATGCCCAACGTATGTGAGATAATGTTTTATCATCTGCACTTTCTCCAAGACAGATTTTGTGTGTGTGTTCTTTTGATAGTTCATGGGATATTCAGTACTATTCTCCAAGACCACAACACAAAGGCATTGACTCTTCTTTCATCCTTATTCATTGTTCAGTTTTTGGATGCACAGTGTAATTGAAAAGATGATGGCTTCAGTCTTTAAACTGACATCATTGCTCTTTATCATGCAGGAGAGATCCTTGGCAGCAGATTTTTCCCAATGCAACATGTCTTTTGAATTCTTGACTACAGATATAAAAGGTATTGATTGTGGATCCAACTAAGATGAAATGGCTAACAATTTGAATCTTTTCTCCATCTAAAATACTGTTGTCTTTTGATCAGTACTGAAAAATTTTGTTTATGATGAGATGTAATCCTTATTAAAGGCTTTAGTCTTTGATCTTGTGCAGCAAGCATTTTGGGCCCCCCTCATTTTCAGTTACCAAGACTGTGTCATCTGGATAATGCAGGTTGTTGATGAATCATTCTGTGGTCCTGATGTACAAAAGTCTAGCTTTGCAAATTCTACTCAGATTATTGGCTCCATTTGCAGAAAAGAAATTTGATGTTAAAATATTATCCATTTTGAAGCAAACAATATGTAATTTTTAGCTTCAGAAAACCCTCTGGAAGTTCTGACTTGAGGATGATGAGTTTAAGGTTTTATTTTAGTAAATCTGCAGCAATAAGTTCTGTTTTGAGTCACCTCTGTTAAAAACACAATTATACTCAGTATAAATCATTAGTACCAACAGAGAGGTCCTGAAACAATAGTGCACAAGTACAGAGATAATATTGTTAGTATACTCTCAAGCTATTTTTTCCAAACCATAGACTAATGTGATACTTCTATTTTTAAACATTACTAGCTTCTTTACAGGTAGATAAGGTTTTAACACTAACCAAAGGGTCAGCAGTTCAAGTGCACCAGCTACTCCATGGAGAAAGATGGATAGATCTCTCCTCTAAGATTTACGGCTTTGGAAACTTGGTGGAAGGTGACACTGTGTGTCAGTGCCTACTCCCAAGAAGTGGGTCACAAGTAGAGATGAAAAGGTGAAAATTCCTCCCTCTACTCTCCTCTGACACTCATCCAGTGACTACAAGAAGGATGGCAGAAACTTTTTTACCTTTTCTTTTTTGCTCCATAGGATGATAGAAGGAGAACTTTGAGCTTTGAGAACGTTGAGAGCCTTTGAGCTGTGGTGCTGGAGGAGAATATTGAATATACCATAGACTGCTAGGAGAACAAACTTGTTCATATTAGAGAGGGTAAGACCAGGCTGCTCCTTGGAGACAAGTATTCTCAAGCTTCATCTAACATATTTTGGACATGTTGCAAGGAGCGACTGGTCCCTAGAGAGCGACATCATGGTTGGGAGGGTGGAAGCACTACACAGGAGAGAAGGACTTCGATTAAGTGGATTGATTCAGTGATTGGGGTAATGGGGGGTAGTATCAGAGACCATAATGTTGGCGTGGGATAGAGCAGGGTTTAGGGCTGTTGTACATAGTGTCACTATGAGTCACAGGCAACTCTATGACAAATAACAACAACAATCATAGGTTGCATCATTCTTAACCATGCTAGTGGAAGGAGAAAATTCACCATGATATACTTGTACACTCAACATCTCTAATATATCAGCTGATTGTGGAAGTATATTTAGAAAATCTGACTACTGGATAAAAAATTCTCACTTCTTATTTTTCAAGAATAGATTACTTGTTTTATTTACTCAGCTGTTTCCCTATGCCATATCTTGCTTTTTAAAATGTCATAATATATGGGTTATTGTGATGAAATGTGAAGTAACTGAAGTGTTGGGTAGGGACAAGGAGTTTTCATTTTCCTTTGCTTTCCATTTGGACTAAATGCAGGAATTGGTGTTTAATTGATTGATGCTTATTGTACTCATGTACTGATGCACTCAATCAACTATTTAGATACTCTATTCCACCAGAGTCTACAAGAATATGAAAGCATCATTCAGACAGTAGTCTGCCTTGATCTTGGAGCTATAACCAATCAAAACAACCAGCAATTTGAAAGCTCACGGATATACATACACTGCATTATTTGTCAATGGTAATACCCTTAGATGAGCATTTTTCAAGTTGTATTTAACAGAACACTGATTGCCTCAGACATTTGTCAAGAAATGCTGTCTTCTTGAATCTTCCTCACACTTTCCAGTTGTTTAATGATAAGAGAATTATTCTATAACACAGCCTGTTATACCCTGTCAAGATTTGCTCCCTTATTATTCTTAAACTCTACTTTATTTTTTACTTTTTTTGGTAAATAATATTAACATTCCTTGGAAATGTTGTTGTTGTTGTTAGATGCCACTGAGTAGAGTATGGTCAACAGAGACCCCATGGACAACAGATCTGAACCCTGTCCTATCCTGTGTCACCCTCACACTTCCTGACACTTTAGAGCCCAACGTAGCAGTCACTGTATCAATAGGTCCATCCAAGGATCTTCCTCTCCTTCACCGAGCCTCCACCTATTCAAGCATCATGTCCCTCTTCAAAGGAACAGCCACTCCTACCCCCTCTGAAGTATGTGAGGTGAATCCTCATCATCTTTGCCTCCACAGAGCACTCTGGATGCACCCTCTCCAAAACATATTTGTTCTTTTGGCAGTCCATGGGGTGTTCATCGCTCTTCTCCAATACCACAACTCAAGGCATCAATTCCTTGTAAATAGTTTTTCTAATATTACATGCTAGGGATTTAAAATCTAAGCAAAAATTTTAAAAAAGAAAAACAGTTTTGCAAATTCAGAAGGCTTTTTTTTACATTTCCTTAAGATTGTTTACGCATATTTTTAAATCCTCTGACATGGCTGGATTCTTCAAATCAAATTAAATATTATTATCTCTAGCAATCATTAAAATAAAGACAAGGTTCTTGTGCAAGAGAATAAATTGCGGAAATTATGAACTCTAAATTCTAGCTAAGTGTTGAAGAAGGCGTAGTCCTTGGCTTGCAGATTTAGAATTTGTTCTTCATTGCTGGACACTCCTGAGGACACAACACTTCTCAGTTCAGAAAACCTGCAAACACTGTTAGTTCAACCCAAATGCTAATCCCATTTGGCAATAATAGTTATCCAGGAATTCTAGGCTTGACTCCCTAAGTCCCTCAACCAGATGCAAGATTGCAGGAGAGCAGTGACTCTAGAGATGAAGAGGTTGACAGCATCACATGGAAGTCAGGAGGAAAAACATCCAAGAGGGTGTGGCTGACAGTGAGGTATGTGATGTGCAAATATTCCACAGAGGGACCATCAGAGAGTAGGGATCCAAAGGAGGCCTCAGATCTCCTAGGAGAGGGGCTGGAGTCAATTACATGTGCATGAAGGATTCAGTCCTAAGAATTCAAATACTGGCTGAGCTGCTTGGTGATGATAAATAGAAATCTGTAACAGATATGTCAGCAGTATTTATCACAGTTTCAACATTTGTAAATACTTGCTATTAGCATGAAAAGTATAACCTTAACTAGAAATGACCACTGTTCCCAGATACTTCTTCTAAAGCTGAAAATATCACTCTACCAACCAAAATCATATCCACTTCTTTGTTGTACATCCAATAAAGTGATTGGAATAACCTATGATTGGCACATTTTATGACTGGCAAATCTGTCCATCAATCTGTCCACCCACCCAAATAAAGATTTTCTTACGTCTTACAATTAATATTTCTTTAATAATATTGAAATGCATCGGTCTTAATTCAAATCATGTATATCTCTCACCAAGATTTTTATAACATTTTCGAATCATACTATACCCAAGAAACAGAATGGTTTTGTTAAAATAACATTGACTAACATCATTCTCCTCTTAAAACCATTCAGTGCCTGACATTTTACCTCAGAAAATCAGGTACTTCTTAAACCTTCTTTAAAAATGCTTTCTGGTCTACCATTCTACTTTAAATCTTGCCAAACACCAATTTGTCTTTCAGAATTTGGCCACATAAAAATTTGTTTCACCATTGTTGTTGTTGCTGTTATGTGCCGTGTAGTCACCTGCGACTCATAGTGACCCTATATACAACAACCCTAAACTCTGCTCTGCCCTGTACCAATCACACTGTCTCCGATACACCCATCTCGATTACCCCAGTCACTGAATCAATCCACCTCATAGGGGGTCTTCCCCTCCTGTGCTGTCCCTCCACCCTCCCAAGCATGATGTCCCTCGCCAAGGACCGGTATCTCCTTACAACAGGTGCAAAGTATGTTAGACGAAGCCTCAGAATCCTTGCCTCCAAGGAGCCGCCTGGTTTAACCCTCTCTAGGATGAATCTGTTTGTTTTTCTAGCAGTCCATGGTACATTCAATACACTTCTCCAACACCACAGCTCAAAGGCGTCAATTCTCCTTCTATCCTCCTTGGTCATTGTCCAACTCTCTGATGCATAACAAGTGATTGTCAGACGTACCTTAGTCTCCAGAGAGACACCATTGCTCTTCAGAACTTTGGAAAGGTCCCTAAGAGCAGACTTTCCAATTCCAATATGTCTTTTAATTTATCAGCTACTGGTGCCAAGAGTGTTGACTGTGG